TCATGTCAGCTACATGGTGTGTGTGTGTGGTGTGTGTGTGTGTGTGTGTGTTCAGTAGAGGGTGACATCGCCAGGCATTTTTTCATGGTGTTGTGTGTTCCTACAGTTCTGTGGCAGCTGCCTGCACTGACTGCAGCTAAGCAGCTTTACAGCTTAGATCCACATCTGTGGTGTGTGTGTGTGTGTGTATGTGTTTCAGAGAGAGATGATGAACGGTGATCTTACTGCCATTGACAGATTTTCTTCGCTTGTTTCCATAAAATATGATTTTAGGACTTTAACAGACCAAATGAAGTTGTGGTTATTTGCTTGAGCCTATGTTCTTAATATCCTCTGTGTTAAAAGAAAAGATTGAAGATTAACTGTGGTATTTTATTCTTCCTTATTGGTGATGCAGTTTGTGGTGGAATGTATCTCACAGATGAGCAACTGCACCAGAAGTGATTAAAAGAAAAAAAAGCCTTGATGTAAACTCTTTACTATGTATCAGGAGTTTTTAAGGCTTAACACATGGATTGCAGTTTAATATAAAAAATCTCAACATATAATTTAACAGGCTCTTAGCATAAAAATGTAAGACATGCAGTTATTTTATTTATGTAACAGCTTTTGTGACTGTGTTGCTAAGTTATTGTTTTATGTTACACATAATATGTATTTATGTCTTATGGCCAGTTACATAAATGCTCTTTTTTCCAAAAGCCTGTTCCAGCTGCAATCGCATATTAAGTGAAATATCTCTTTGAATACTTAAATGCTTTGAGTATTTTACGTCAGTTTATAGTGTTTATACATCTGTTTTAAGATATTTCGATTTTTAAAGGAGGGAATGGTAAAAGTACATGCATATAATTTTTAAGTTCTGTTTTTACTACGTTGCAGTTTGCACAATAACATTTTTATGTTCTGTTTACTGCATTCTGATTCCTTCACATATTGTATTATTTTGTGGAAGGAAGAAGAAAGACTTAATAATCAAAGCCAAACATATCATAGGTGAAACTAAAATAACTTAAGAGACTGTATAATGTAACGTACAGTTTGAAGTGTTTGTAGGACACTGGCCATCCTTCACATAAAGCTTACAGGATTAAGATGTCAAACCTTAACATGTAGCTTATGCTTTCAGACACATAAACACATGACCTTTGACTGGGTTTATAGAAAAGCTGAATTTAATATAAGCAATGCATTCAGGTCACATCCGTTATAATGAATGTATGTGTATATATATATAAGTTATATGGACATCTCATTTCATAGTGTAGGGGTGGTTGTTTTGTTTCTTGTTTATTTGTTTAAATTTTTCATTTTTTTTAATTTGTCATACACATTCAGAGCCTGTCTCAGTAATCCAATTTAGACAATCACTCTATTGGAAAAAATTAAATAAATGAAGTTTGACACAGGTCAGAATTGGTTATTTGTTAAAATTTGTCTTATAATCGAGCCAGTCGTCTCCAATGCTCCTGTTTGGAAATGTTACTTTTGCACACATTTAAAGGTTTACTTGCATTTGATCAACGGCTGCTCAGTCAGTTTAAAACCCTGCTGGCAGCTCTGAAAACTTTGTTCAGCTTGGCAGCATCTTCGTTTTGACTTGACAGTTGTGTTGACTGCAGTGTTAAAACTGAGAGGAAGTGTATCAGTTATCATTTAATTGTGTATCCAAATAAATTTTTAGCTGGTTCCCTCCAGGTGTATTTGATGCACATGCTGTAAACATCTCACTCATTTTCTGTGTCCCTGCAGAACCTTCTAGCGTGTTTTCACAGCGGTTCAGACAGTTTTTCTGGAGACGCCTGCGAGGTGAAGGTGGCGGCTCCGTCCCACTCTCCTTCAGCTGAGGCTGAGTACTGGAGGATCAAAGCAATGGCTCAGCAGGTCAGTAAAGGACAAGTGTACTTTCTGTGCTACAGAGCGGGACAGCAAAGAGGCCCAATTTTTATAGTTACTTCACTGTTGCTTCCACATCAAATCCAAAGTCCAAATGTTTTTTTTAACCATAAAGGTACATGGGAATCTTTGTTGTCTGCTTTAAATAGTCTGTGGGCAAGACGCAAACAAGCGCTACACACAAGAAGAAGTGAAACATCCTCCTGCCAGTGTGACCATTTCAATCTCTTCACATTTTTGCAATTTAATGCATATTTACAACGATAAATCGTTAATTCACAGGGTTAGATGAGAAATGAATTAATAATATTTTTTGCCACTGACAGGCTCAGACTGTTATTTTAGTGTCTGACAACATTATGCAAAGGATCCACACAAAGACAGAGCGTTTTTGTTAAAGAGTAAGATCCCTCTTGTCTAACCAGAAACAGCCTGTATATTCCTATCACTTGCCACCAGATTTCATAGACAAACACAGTAATTTACCCTAGCAGATAATTGTAAAGCATACTTCAAAATGCACAGAAAGAAAATAAAACTCACCAAAACTGCCTTTTTAGTAAATAAATTATCTAATATCTTTTAAGTAGAGGTCAAATAGAATTACATTAAAATGCATAACTAAAACTTCAATAGGCAAACAACACCTGTGTAGCATTATTGTTACTCATACTAACTGAACTTTTGTATTATGAATACTAGTTCAACTGTTGCTGGCCCAGGAGAGGCCGATTTGTTGATATGTCCTCTTTATGTCCCAGGTCTTTATGTTGGACACCCAGTGCTCTCCAAAGACGCCCAACAACAAGGACGGCTTTGAGCACGCTCAGTCCTGTGTTCTCATCATTGAGTTGCCGTCTGACCAGCAGTCCAATGGACACACACAGAAGAGGTGGACAACATACACACAAATACACACTCAGAAGCATGTTTGTGCACATGTGATGAAAATGAACCCCCTTGATGTAATTTTCTAACTTCACACCCTAAACTTAAACCACATCCTCCTGCCCCCAATATACTGAGAAAAACTCTAACCAACAAAATCCTTTGTTATTGGCTTTGACTTCCTTTTGGTGAGAATTATAGGGTCAGTGTTTGAAAAAATACATTACCCAAAAGTTCATTTGACTGTCGGACTTTTGTGAGCTCCTGTATATGACTTATTTTAAGTACATTTTATAGGAACATAAACAAAAAGGCCCAAGAAATTGAGATAATGTAATCCATTTCTCAAGAGGCTTTGATTTTAGATTTAATGAATTGACTTTTAGATTAGACTTTGCATTTACTATGTACAGCAATTATTTTTGCTCTTCATACATTTTACTGTGGACATGCAAAGTCAAATTTCATTATATTTTTTATTTTGAACATTTAAAAAACAATGTAAAACAATACAAGCAAGAAAAGAAATGCATAAACAGGAATAGCCAACAAAATTAGCAGCAAACTCACAATGAACATAAATAAATAATGATTAAATAAGAAGGAGAAAGTGAATACTTATTCTGTCCTACCCCATTTTTTATAATTCATTAAAGGAGGACATACAATCTTATTTTGTTTTGAAAAACATTACTGGAAACAGAAATGCAGCCAAATCTAACTCTCACTGACATTTTTTGCTTGTCTTTCTGCTGCCATGGTCACAGGAAAATTGGGTAAGGCTGTTTTCTGTGACATCTGTGACATTGTGTTTGTCAGATTTAATGGTGTGAAAATGCCCACGTACAGTATGGCTCTGTATGAACTCCATCGTCAAACTAAAGTATCCACCAATAGAGCTGCACAATGTGGAGAAAATATGTGGTGTGTGACAAATCTGTTGTATATTGGTGTTATTAGATGTGATAAATACTGAAAATGGGGTCAGATTTGCTGAATAATTTATTTTTGCATGTTAACACATAATAATAATTCCAAAATATATTATATAATGATATTTCCTACATGTTTATAATGCATTCAGTAATGTACTGCATTGATCTGCTGACAAGAGTGAAAATGTAAACCTAGATTTACACCAGTTGTAAAGTTGTCACAAGTTAGCATTGGCATCTAACTCATTTTGAGTCATTGCATTGAAGGAATTGACTTGATTTTTCATGAAAGCTTCAACAGTGTGTCAGGCTCTGCTGTTCTGACAACACAGCCCATTTGGGTTTAATTGAAAATACCACAGAAACCTTATGAGACATTGTGCAAATCAGTACACATATTGTACCTGCATTTTGTGCAGTGCAACACATTGCTCATTGTGCATAGTTGTACAGTGTTACAAGTAGCTTCCTGTCCACAGCATGGAATATTAGTCCCTGTTTACTTTATTTTATTTTGTCATTATTTACTTGATCCTTATAAAGCCATGTTCAGTCTCGTTGTGAATCTTTGGTCTGAACTGGGCTTAATGCACCCGTTCTCGAACTATAGTACGAGTACCACTGAGGGTACACAGTGATACACGGAGGCATGTATAATACAAACAAAAAAATACACAATTTCAAATGAAAATACTTGTATATCTCAAAACCTAAAAATAAAAATAAATCTCGAAGGGGATTCCTTAAGACAAAATCTGTTCAAATTGGGGGCCTGTGCTCTAATGTGCATCTGTTGTGGGGGTCCTTTGCATGAAAAAGGTTTAGGAACTTCTGCCCTGGAAATTCAGTATAATATGTTGTATTGCCTTATAATGTAAGAGGCCACTAATCTAAACAGTATTTATTTACAATACATAGTGTACATTTTACGGTGCTACAATATAAAGAGTTGATTTTCACTTACTGTTAAACTGTTGAAACTATTGAACCTTGTGGCATGAAACATTTTTTTAAAAATTCAATTATTTTTTTTAAATTTTTTTAGCAAGAAGGGCAAAAATAGTTCCACAAATCAAATTATGAACACATTTGAAATTCTGGCCACAATATTTTTTGTTCAATTTAATGAATGAAATTAGAATTAACTGCAAGGGGAACATGTATTTTAGCTCCTCTAAAAGCTAAGTAATTTTCAGTAAATTGGTTTATCACAGCTTAGTTACAGTAGAACACATTATCCTTATTCATCTAAAATCGGAATGAATGTGATTTGACATCCGTGCTGGTTTCTGAATCCTGCAGAATCCCATTCCGGACCATCGTGGTGAGCCTGCTGTCCCACCAAGTCCTGCTCCAAAACCTCTATGACATCCTGCTGGAGGAGTTCGTCAAGCAGCCCGAAGGTCACGAAAAGGTTACACCTGTGACCTCTGACCCCAGCAGAACCACAGCAGGCTTCCTGCGTTACATCTCCATGACTAATTTAGCCATTATCCTGGATCTGCTGCTGGACTCTTACAGGTTACTGCAACAAGAATTTAGGCATATGTGCTGATGACAGTGTTGTATGCAATCCTGCTGGTTTAAAGACCACAAACTAAGAGAGCTGGTTGATGATAATGATAATGTTGATCAGCTTTATACTCATTTGATTAATCTCCTGATCTCTTCTGCAGGACAGCGCGGGACTTCGACACTCGCCCAGGTCTTAAGTACCTACTGATGAAAGTGTCGGGTGTTTGTGGAGCGGCTAATCTCTACCGCCAGTCTGCCATGAGCTTCAACCTGTACTTCCAGGCCTTGCTGTGTGCCACACTGAGCCAAGCTGACGGCATGACTGCACAGCAGGTAGAACCAGAGACTATGTCCATTTTTAATTATACAGTCTATGTGTGAAAGTGAGTAGTGACAAATCAACAGAGAATTATCACACAACTCTTTTAGTTTTACAGCCCAAACTTTTCAGTTCTGGTTCAGTCTCAGTGCTCTCATCAACCTTGTTTCCCAAACAAGACAGACACAGTTAGACCACAGTGGAACATCTAGCAGCTACAGTGCCAGATATTTTGGAAGACAACAAACCAGAGCTAAAAGGAGGATAAATATTCCATTCATTTGTTGTCCAGAGATGTCCAAATAAATGCTAATGTTGAACTATGTCTGCTTAATGTGTAAATAGACAAGTGTTTGCTCATATCAACTTTAAAAGACCGCAGTATGTGTATGGTCTTCAGCTTCAGAAATGATTTATGCAGCTTCCACCTAGTTTTCAGTTTGCCTTTGCTAGCGCTTGTTTGTTTTGCTTTTTTTTTTTAAAACATTATGTCCAGAATTATTATGCATTTTCAGTTCTACTTTTGTGCTTTCAGTAGGTGTAATGGACGAAGTTAAGTGCAGGTATTTTTATGTTGGTAACAAATGCATTAGATAATAATACATTAAAACTGACTAACTCATTTCTCTAATAACCTGCACACCTTTGCAACCATTTGGCATTAACCTACTAAAGACATAACTATCTTAGCAACCACCTAGAAATGTTGTGATAACCACGTAGCAACACATTAGCCACCATTTTGAAGAGGAAACCACTAACAAGTCATTAGCAACCAAACCTCATTTCATTGTATTTAGGTGAAGAGGATCCTGTATGAGGAAGAGGAGAGGAGTTCTGACTCCTCTCACCCTGGCTCTGCTTCCTCAGAGGACGAAGACATCTTTGAAGAAACAGCACAGGTGATCCACACACTGTTTCTTTTATCAGTAATACTAGGTGTGAAAAGAATATTGATCTTTTTTGTATTACTGATTCAATAATATAACAATTATTCAACTTACTCTCAGTTAGTTAAAGCTTTGACAGTTTCAAACCAGGAAAAATCATCAAATGCATAGAAGATGATCTGTCTTCCATTCATTTGAAATAAAAAGTAAAAGAACTGTGTACAAAATGATTAGCTGTGATAGACAAAAATAACAGTGCATGTACACTCAGAGGTCACAGTGATTGACAGGTGACTTCCAAGTGCACCACAGACACAGAAAAAAAACAACAAAAGATTTTCCTGGATTAGTCTGGCTGCTGCTCTTTTTTCATTCCTCTTTTGATTGTTCTGGTTTATGAAGGGTTTCCAGATTCTTGAACCTCCTAATGTAACAAGGAGGATAAATTATGTTTTTGTGGTATTAACAATCATCCACTTTAATCTGTGTTTCTTCAGGTCAGCCCCCCTCGCGGCCGGGATAAACGCCACCACTGGCGAGCTCCCATCCCGTCTCTCAGCGTGCAGCCGCTGGGTGGCGCAGACTGGGCCTGGCTGGTCAAACGGCTCTACAAGCTGTGCATGGATCTGTGCAACAGCTACATTCAAATGCACCGGGACCTAGAGAGCACGCTGGAGGAGACAGCGCTGCTGAGAGGAGCAGCAGGAGGAGGAGAACACTTCCTTCTCCTGCCTTTCTTACAGTCTGAGACTTCCACCCCGACGTCAGCAAGCGGGCTTTCAGCACGGGGGACGCCATCAGAGGAGGGCGGGTACAGGTGTCAGACAGCGGACCTGAGCACAGCATCACCAGGAGACACGCCCACACCCAGCCCAGGATTCAGGTCCGACTTCACTCATATCACAGTTTAGATGAGGCACAGTTATTCTAGAGATCCAAGATAGTGATGTAATTTCACTTGTATATTGGGTCAACTCAGTCTTATCTGGGAACAGCACATTATCCAGTAACACAACTCACACGGGGTGCTACAGACTACACTGACTAAACAATCA